GAATTCTGGGAGTTGAAGTCCACCCATCTTCAAGCTGCCAAGGTTGAGAAACACTGGTGTAGCATATGTGTAGCGTATATTGGTGCTTTTGATTTTTCATTTACAGAAGCCTTTTAGCAATATTCCTACAGTTGCATGAATATGAGTGAGACTTGTAGCAAAGAGCTGTAGTATATGGTGCTCATGCTCAGAATGTCAGCCAGCCAACTGTGCCTCTTGCCAAGATCGTCCATTCCACCTCCCTGAGGTTGGGGCTCATTCTAACCCCACCCCCAGCTGCAGGAATCAGTGTCCCTGTCTGCGCAGGATGCAGTCCTCCATTAGCTATTTTGGGGGTGACAGTCGTCATAAGTTGTTTTGTAATTCTATAAATCTTGTGGCCCTCACCATATACTGTATATGATGCTGTATTGCCTACATAAAGACATGCACTGAGGGAAGGAGTTCATTCCCAATATATGGGCTTGAATTTTACTCAGAAGGTAGTTCTGAGTCTAGAAACAGGGATGGATAAACATTTTGCTCTTAAAGAATTCAAGTATTTTTGTTTTTTCTTGCTTTGTGTAAAAACAAGTATGTAAAGATTGTTGCTCAAGTGACATTCTGCCTCAATAATAGTATTTTTTTAAAAATAAATACAGTCTTTGACCACATACAGAGTAAATAATATTTTTTCCGCAAGAAGCTGAAGAAAGTATGCTTTCCCTTTTGAATCTGACATTTATAATTCTGGTAGGAAATGTATTTTATTTCTTATCATGGAGTTTGTGTTGAATGGAAAAGCAGAGGTGCTCATTATTATTGTTTTTTATGTTATGTGTCTATTTATTTATTTGTCTGTATTAAAAAGCTAAGATACTTCTCTAGACATTCCATGCAGTTTCTGAATTACTAAAGTTTGGGAATTAGTCAGCATTGCCATAATGAGAGGATAAATTCCAACTTTGGGGTCAAATTCTGAGATGTTAGAAAAGGGAAAAGAAAAAGGAAAGACAGAAGATTTGGATGTCAATATCAAGAGATTTTATTCATTAGATCACTCTGCCAAAAATGCTTTCTATTTTAGCATGTTGGGGGATGGTCAAAATGAATACTTTTTATATGTACGGTGACCATATTTTTTGGAAAAAATAAAGGACAAACCTGAAAAAGGGGCAAATCTGAAAGAGGTAAAGGATAGAAAGAGGATAAAAAATTTAATTGTTTATGTTCATAACTTTGCTTTACAAAGGAAAATTCAAGACCAAAACCAAGAAAAACTTTACAGAAAGGCATATTCCAATAAAAATATCTAAAAAGCATAAAAAATTTCTAATGGTATGTGGGACAGGGCTTGGGAGGCTGGGTGAAGAGACACTGCCAAGGGAATGGTCAGATAAGAGACAGCACAGCCCACAGCTGGATAGCAGGTGGGGCAAGAGGCTGACAAGAGACCCTCCCTAGTTTCTAGGGCTGTAAAGGAGACTGAGAGGGGGGTGAAATGTACTTTCATACTAGCAAGCTTCTGTCAATGTAGCTTTACAATAAAGTAGAATTAGCTCATCTGGTTATGATTCCTATCTGGTTTACCCTGTGGGGCTGACACTATTATAAGAAGCAAGTATTAAAAAGGATTTCTGCAATCAGACTCTGCATTAAGTGGTACCATTTGTATGGAAAAAGTTAAATGACCAAAATAAAGGACAAAAGTGAGTTTTTGAAAAACAAATCTAAAGGACAGCTTTCTGAAATAAAGGACTGTCCTTTATAATAAAGGACGCAAGGTCACTGCATTTATATATAGTAGTAATACTGATATGGAAAAAATATCCCAAACTTGTGAATCATTCTCAATTTTGGTTCTTCTTTTCCCCGTCTCAGGAGAGTACATTAAAACATGGAGGCCAAGGTACTTTCTGTTGAAGAATGACGGAACATTTATTGGATATAAAGAGCGACCTCAAGATGTGGACCAGCGAGAATCCCCCTTAAATAATTTTTCAGTGGCTCGTAAGTATTCCACAACAGTCAGACTTCTAGATCTGTCCCTAACTAACTGCACCTTTTTGAAACGTGATTTAGCTACTTAGATCATTTCTCCACTAACATTGTTCATGTGTATGCATTCATGTACCTGTGTATGTTCATGGCCAGACCATACTCCAAAACAAAAGATTAATAGTGTTTGAAATAATTAGTCCTGATTAAAATTAATTCCCTGTAAAAGAAGCTAACCAATTTATAAAAGCACGCACGCACATGCACGCACAAATCATTCTCACACAAAACACACAAGTACATATACACACTCATCCTTCTTCCCTCCTTCCACCAGAAGCAGCAAAAGAAATTAAAAATAAAGAGGGGTGAGAGAAGGGGAGAGGTGGCTGCATTAGAAAGAGAAGGAAGGAAAATAAAGAAAGCTGTTGCCACCACTCCTGTCTCACAGAGAGTTGAGGTTTTACTAAAATGTGTGTGGAGTCCAGAGACAGGGGACTCTCCATCCAGAGACTCCACATGCCGTTTTTGCGTGCTTCTGTTGTGACACAAGCTCTGTTCTGCCTCTCTCTTGTAAATATACGAACATATCCTCTACTTCAAAGATAAATAGTGGGGGTGGGGGGGAGTTGTTTTCCTTTCAGATAAAATACAGTAGCTGAATGATGATACAGTTACACCATATATACTACTCATTATTTTCTTTAGTCATTATATAATGAAAATGACCCTTCCTGCTGAAGAGGAAAGTTTAGCAAGCTTGGGGGTTTGCAGGAAAAAAATTGCAAACACAAAAGGGGGAGACGGAACAAGGGAGAAAACCCCCAAAGCAGTCTGTGATAGTGGAACCTGTTTATTAGGCCCAGGAAGCACACTGCCAGGGAAGAGGGAAGGCAAGGCAAGCAAAATACAGCGTGTACGTATTCTGTCAAAGGATGTTACTGCCTGAAATCCTGAACAGAAGCACTTTGCAGGTTCTGCTTGCATCCTATATGCTGTGAAACTATGTGTGAAAAATAAAACACAGTTTAAAGAAACAAATCCAGCAATTGTTACACAGGGTCAGAAACTCTGGCTAACCAAAAGAGTCACTTGTTGAGGTGGGTGGCTATAGAAATCAAATAAATAATAAACTTCTAGTCTGTTGATGACCATAGCTTAAAAAGAAACTGAAACAGGTAGAAAGGTCTAAACTATTTAGCAAAGTGAGTATTTCTTATTAATATAAAGCTTCCTACATCTCGTACTCCCCTTCGCTCACTTACTTTTATTTTATTTATTTATTTATTTTGCGGTATTTGCCTCCTTTTCTGGAGCTGCTCTCCAGTTTGTAACAGAGCCACAAACAACCTACTTCCTATATGGTGAAGATAGGCATAGGAGATGTTTCTGAAGCACCATATATAATGAAATTATGAAATGATGGTCCTGAAATTCCATCATTTATTTGTCCTTCTGAAAGACATGTCCTCTGTCTCAGTATTTCAGCTGTCCTTTCCCTCAGTCTCCTAGAAAGTCATTTACAGACAAAAGGAGATGGAAGGTTCTTTTCTTGACATTTATCAGTCCATGGGGTGATGCCATCAAAGCCAGAGAGAGGCGTTGGACACCTCCATCAGGTCATGTGAAATCTGATTCTCTTCTTGTTTTAAGTGCTTGGAGCAGAGTAAATATTTTGACCTTCTGGGAAGATACTAGGATAATACAGGGTGCCTTTCAACCACATAATGGCAATTTGCATCTGAATGCACTGGTATCTGTTCATGTAAGAAACTGTTCACCTACTTATTTTTGAAAGACCCAGCCACCATGAATGAATTGGATTTTAGAGTTCTCCTAACAATAGACATTTTAAACACTTGAACTTCCTCATTTTGGTGAGGAAATGTGTTTGGGGAGAAGGTGCAGTTGATCACAAATAGGAATTAATGGTATTTTCACCTGATTTAGTTCTGTGTTGAAGAATGAGGAATTGGCTTCTTGAGTGTTGCAGGTTTATTAATGCAGATACTACAAAGCTAAATGAGAAAAGAACATCCCACAAACCTAAGAATATCTCTGTATTGTCGAAGGCTTTCACAGCCGGCATACGATGGCTGGTGTGG